GATGTTGGAAATTACCAGACTCATGTCCTTAGCCTTGTGCTGTGCCTGCCATGCCAAGGCTGGGAGGCTATGTTATTTGTTCCTCTTGCTACTGTGTTCACCACTAGGGAGAAATTCTGTCAATAAAACCATGGAGAATGGTTATTGCTCTAAGGTCATGCTTTCTCTCTGCAGTTCAGGAAAAGTTCCATAACTTCTGCCACCCTGTAACTCTCCTCACTGGTCCATTTGTACACATTTTAAGTCCTCTATACTTAGATGGGAAAAAATATGTATTCTAAAGTTGAGACGTTCTAGATCTATATCCTAGTTCTGTGCTTACTTAGAAAGTACAATAAACTTCCAGCCTTAGTGTTGTCTCTTAAAAAAATAAAAAAGAAGAACAACTATTTATTCATTTCTCCCTCACACAGGTATTGAAAAGCCTACGTGTGGGCACACTCACCAAACACGAGCAAGTCACTGTACATTCTCAGCTCAACTAATTCCATAGTCAAAATAGTGAATGGCAAGAAGATAAAGATCACAGTGCATGAACCCCTGACTGTGTGTTGACCTTAGGATTGTCTGTTTTCTCCACAGAACCTGATTCTAGGAACACATCACCTCTCCATCCTCTCTCCAAGCCTGAGGGTACATCTTTAAAGTACAATGCCTGACTCAGTTCCTCCTGCCCGTAGCTCCTCCATTCTCATTCTCTGAAGATGCTCACGAGACTTTACTCATCAGATTAACACTTTCCCCACATCACTCCTTTATTCAAACTGCACTTGCCATTCTTTTACTTTTGTTTTCCTGACCTCCCCATAATGCTCTGCTCAAGTGAAACTTACTTCAATACACTTCCCTACTTCCCCAGATAACTCCTGTATCATTTCCTCCCTTCAAACTACATTGCCAAGTCACTGAGGGGGCTCTAATTTGACCCATGTTTGCAATCTCCCTCCTGAATGTCTAGAACAGTATTTTATACACAGTAGGCACTTCTAAATATTACCGGAATGACTGAGTAAAATAATGAATTTACGATTGATTTAGACATGCTAACTCCAAACAACAGAGGGAAAACCAGTACTGCAGTCCATCAGCAGGCTGGAAAGGAGTCAGGACAAAGCTATTCATTTGGTAGGGATGGTTGCTAATTTCTGAGGCCATTGTTCACCAATAATCAAGGTGTTGAGCGGAAAAAGCAAAGACAGAACATTTCAGGAGTAGAAGGTGGCAGCACAATTAAGTCAAGATTATGATTCATGGATCATAGAAAAGAGAAATTCTAAAGAATCCAGTTTCAGAGAAACCAGTAGTTTCGAGAAACACTTTGAATTGTTTCCCCTTGCTTTAGTTGTGCCATCAGACTGTCCTAAAAGCATGAGTCGGTAAGTGGAATCTGGTATCAAGTATAGCTTTATGACTTCTATAGATGTTTGTCATTTTCAGTCCCCTTCATCAGTGTGACAGAAGAAGCTGAAACTCCCTCAAGGTAATTCAGATCTACTTATTACAATTCCAATGACGGATCAGACAATGACAAGGAGACAGAAAGACAGGACAGTCAGGATATAAAAGGTCAAAGGAGTAATAGCATCACTTACAACAACTTCCTGCAGATAAGTAACTTTCCTAACCTATGGGACATCAGTCAAGGGCTGTCTGCAGGTGGAGGACAAATGCCAAGACCATCAAGACAGGGTGTGCCTGCTGCTTCTGTCTGTCTGGTTTGCCTTAGAAAGGGCTTTATACTTTCTGCAAGGTGTCTGGTCAGTGAAAGGCTTAAGTAGAATCATAACTGACCTCATGACTGTTGTGAAAAATAAATTTATTGGGTTGTCAGAAAAGTCATGACATATATTTTTCTGTTTTTCAAAGATCATCTATTTATAGAAAGAACAAAGATCAACCAATGATATAGTGCCTATTTGTTCAAATACATTTTGCTATCTTTCAGCGAACTTCCTAATTCCCTGTTCACAGAAGGCCCTGGTCAGCAAAAACCTGAACAAGGGGCTGAGTTACATACTCCTATGAATTGAACATTATTCCATGCAAGGAGTTTCTAAGAGAGTGAAAAAAAGTGGGATTCTGATGGCACAAGGTCAGGTGAGTATGGTGGATGTGGCAACATGTCTCGTCCAAGTTCCAATAATTTTTGACAGGTGACCAAACGTGTGTGTTCTCATGCTGTTGTTGATGAAACACAATCCCTTCATGATTAACAAGCTCTGGATGTTTCTGGATGATGGATTCATTCAAACTGTCCAATTGTGCACAGCTGACATTTGAATGGATTGTTTGGTTCTTTGGTAGTAGTTTTAAAAACACACCTTTAAGATCCCACCACACTGAGAGCGTGACCGTCCCCTGATGAATGTCTGCTGTCGCTGTTAAGGTGCATCACCATGTTGAGATGCAGACCATTTGTGCATTATACTGTTGTAAACAGTCCATTTCTCATCATCAGTTGTCAGTCACTTCAAAAAAGGATCGTTTCCCTCATGCTTCATAAGCATATCACAGATGTTTATATGCACGGTCAAATGAACCTGAGTTTATGGGGAACCCGAATAGCGAGTTTGTTTACATATCTGAGATTTTTCAGGTGGTTGTGAATGTGTAAGTAATGATGTTTGATGTTTCTGTAACCTCTCATGCCATATAATAGGGGTTTGACTCCATCATTGCCTTTATTTACCTCCAGTGGGCCTCCCTGCCCAAGGAGCGTCATTGAGATCAAAATTGCCAGCAGGGAATTTTGTGAGCCATCACTGTTACTGACGGGCTTGTAAAGCACTGTGACTGAAACTTCATCAATTTTTCACAAGCTGAAAGAGTGTTCTTCCCTTTATGGAAGTAAAACAGTAAAATATGACAAAAATGCAAAGTTTGGTCTTCAATCTTCAACTTACTGTAAAGTCTCTAAAACTCAACCAAATCACTCAATTTTTTTTAAAAATGAAGCTAGAACCATCAAATGACTAGCAAGAACACAGATGTGAATACTACTTCCAAAAATGAACTAGTGCTATCTGTTGCAAAAATGCATCATGATTTTCCAACAACAGGTAAGTATACTATGTTTACTTACAGATCCTTGGGAATCTTGTTTTGGACTCTCTCCAACCTCTAAGGAAATGTAAGCTCAGTAGTGATCTTCCACACTCAAATCATATTTATAAAAAACTAAGAAAACACTATAGTGTGAAGAAATTGTAGGGTAGCGTGATATGGATCAAAAGAAAAATGCCAGAATTTCATATTACATGCAGAAGGTTCACAGCTGTTAAAAAGTCAGTCGGCTGTACTGAAATCAAGCAAAACTGCTAGGATGACTTCTGAGAAAACAGCATTTCTTACAAAGATATGAGATGCTATAACTAATCAGATATATAAGACATTTATTAATGCCTTTATATTGTTCATAAAAGGATCCGACAGAAAATTCTGATGTGATGGAAAAGGGAGAACCAAAGATGGAAGCAAATGACTGTCTCTGTTACTGATTCAACCATTATAGCTAATTCAACACTATCTACAGAATGCCTACTACATGTCAGGTTCTGTTCTCTAGGCTGAGGGTACCACAGTAAACAAAATATACCAAAACCCTGACCACATGGAGCTTACAAAATAGCAAAGAATTTAAAACACGGGTCTTTGAACAAGATATGCACAAGAGTGACACAAGGGTTTGTTATAGAAAAATCAAGAAGGGAGTTGCTAATAAAGTGTATATGCATATATATATATACACGCACATATATACACACAGTACATATACGTATGTATGTACACATACATATATATAGATTGTTGATGACAGTGAAACTGAATATATAACCAGAGAGCACATTCAAAAAAATTTTTTTGCTAAAATCAAATACTGGCAATACTTTCCTCTAATGTGGACTGATTAATCTTATTACCTGCATGATCAAAAGCAAAATTATTTAATGACCACTGCTACGGAACGCCTGGGATGGAGTCACAACTGCAACCAGCAAATACAGAAATGACCAGTTCCTTCCTACTGGACAGAAACTTAGAAGCATAAAACTAACTGAAAAGCTAACTTAGCTGGCAATATGCTTCAGTAATGGGAAAAAAGGCAAAAGAAGCACTGATTATAACCAAGGAGTTACAGCAAGTAGGGCAACTTATTTACAATTTATTGCAAGGATTATAAAGTAAATGTAGGCAGTTATCTGGGCATATGAGGAAGTTTCTGTTTAGTCCAACAACGGGTTGAAACGGATTCTGCCATTTTCCATTCAACCCATCGGTGTAAACAGCGTACAGCTGCCACGTTACCAGGCAATTTTAACCCTCACAAAACTGAACGGAGGCAAATAGATTCCACCAGGAGAGCTGCACATTCAGTGAGTAAGTAAAAGCACAGCAGACAAAAATACACGCAGACACAGTACAAATGCCGGAATCAAACGCGGACGAGGGAGACAACGTTGAAACGTTCCAGGTCATCAGTTCCGTCCACTGGGAAAATAACAACTAAGAACTTCACCGTCCAGACGCTTCGAACGTGTACACTGCGCACCCACGTTTACGGGACTGTCCACCCGGATGGGGAAAAAGGTATAAAAGGCTCCTCTTAGGCCCAACTAAGACTCAGGGGTCGTGTCCCCTCACTTCACGGGTGGGACCGGCAGGTAGACCGGAGGCAAAGGTGAGTAACAGGTCCGAAGCCCAGAAACTCCCATCGGAAAGCGAAACCCAAAGTTTGAGATGACAGCGAAGGGGCTGGCGGAGAACCACAGCAGCTAGAACAGTGTACCAGGAACGCAGGGCAGTTCGGGGCACCCACGGAGCCAACCCCGCCATTCAGACCCGCGGAGCCTGGAGAAGCCCCGAGGGCCGGGGTCCCCCGGGCCTCGGAACTCAGGACCCAGCCAGAAGCGGGTGCAGGGGAGCAGTTCCCGGGAAGCCCCTCCCGCCCCTCTCCCCTCAACCCCGCCCATTGGGTCCGCCCCGTCCCGCCGGCTACTCACCGGATTCGCTTCCCACATAACGGTGGCGAAATCCAGCGGAGAGAGCCTGAGGGAAGGGGCTAGCCGCGGGGCCGGGGTGTTGGGTTTTTTCCGAGGGTCCCGGGGAGCGGAGGCATGGGGAGGCCACCTTTACGCAGGCCTTCCTTCTCCCCCTCCCTGTCACAAGCCAGCGTCGGCGGCCCACCGAACCTCCCGACTTCCGCTCGCAGCCGGCCAACCAGCGCTGGCCCCGCCCCACTCCCGGAAACTGGCCCCGCCCACCCCTCCCTTCCGGATTCGGCGGGGGCGTGGCTTGCGAGTATTTTGGTTGTAAAGGAGTTCGAAGGAGCTCGTACTCCTGCACCTAGCCCTGCTTCATTCAGCCCCATCGCGCCATACCTGGCAGGTGAGCCGCAAGCCGCGGTGGGTTGCATTTCCTCCGATAGTTATTGATCACCGTATAGGGAGTGTAGTGGGCAAAGTCAGACCTGATTGTTTGTTAATGGTTGACCAATTCTTTTAGTAATTATTTTTTGTATGATTATGACAGTTATCTGTAATTAGTGATTCACTGTAATTAAGCTCAGAGTGACCAGTGGCATTTGGGGTATAAGCTTCACAAGGTGAGCCTCAGTTTCTTCGTCCTCAGAATAGGTATAATGGTGGGCTTAGCCATCATTTAAAATCCTTAGTACAAATACGGTAGGAGCTCAGTCAAGTGACCTTTATTCGCCAGGTCCTGCCAGGCTCTGGAATGAACAAAACTGAACTCGATACAGTGCCGAACTCCATGAAGCTTAGGGTCTAGAAGGGGAAAAAAGGCAAAAAGTAAATTTAGATAAAATATGCAGCATACTTTAAAGGTCTAGTAGCAAGGTTCTGTAGCTACATATTTGCCTAGGGTAGGCTGTCTTCTCCCCCTTCCACTCTAAGAAGTTAAAGCTAAGATCTCAGGACTACTTCAATTAAAGTTATCCTAATAAAGAGACCTAAGAGAAAGAGGCTTCTAGACAAAGAAATAGAATCAAAACATGAGAAATGAAATAGATAAAAACACCCACACAAAAAACAATTTGTTAAATATCTTTCTAGACATTCTCTACCTCCACACATTAAAATTGTTTTCTTTGATCAAATAAATCTGCAGATTTAGAATCTTATTTTTTAGCATCATATGTATAAATAAGTATAAAATCTTTCTCACTTAAAGTAATTCATGGACTTCCATTGTTTGTATGTTACCCACATGTACAGTTGAAATAATCCATTATTATAGCTATTTAAGTTATTTTCAACATTTTCACTATTCCAAAAATTGGGACAATAAACATTCTTGTATAGACATCTTTATGCAGTTGTCCATTTACCTCATTGAAATTAGTTCATGAGATGGAATTATCTTGTTGCCAAAACTACCTTTAACAACAGTGTATAAATGTGTGATGTCTAATTTATTCCGGTAAACGGGCTGAAAGAGACATTTTCACTTTACCTTTTTTTCTCGTTACTTTTTGTCAACTCATTACCACTGGATCTAATATTATTTATTTAATAAGCTATTCTTTCTCCAGAAGTGCTACCAATAATCATAATCACAAGTGTTTGCAAAATTGGTATATGTGTACATATATGTACATGAGATAATATGTCTCTGAACATACTCACCTATTAACTGCTTCCTATATTATGCTATATTGTTAAAATTACTGTAACATTATAACATGATCACTCATAAAACAAGTTATCTCCACTTCTTTTTCAAAACTTTTATGATTATTTTCATTCAGGAATTTTTTTTCATGTATTTAGGTCTTTATATATTAGATTCATTGAAAGCATTTTTTACATTGATTTGCCCATTTTTTTTGAAGATTCTTCTTAGATGTGTTACAGTTTTATTGCTGTAGTGAATGAGATGTTTTTCATCACTGTAAGTTAGGAAAACTATTAACCTTTGTGTATTTATCTTATATCCTACTACACAATGAAAATGTCTTACTAGTACGTCAGCTGATCTTTCTGATATTTTATGCAAGCAACTGTATCACCTACAAATGATGTAATTTTCTCTCTTCCTATGACATTGGTCAAAACATCAGAAAAAATTTGAGGAATACATAGCAAGATAATGGCATTCAGTCTTTAGCTCAGGAAGATAAGAATTCACCCCTAGTTAGTACTAGATATTCTTTACATACCTTTTTGTATTCTTTCTATTCCTAGTTTATTATAAGCTTTTAATTGAAAAAGGATGTTAGATTTTTATCAACTGTATCTTAAAATCTATTGCCATGTTCTTTCTGTGCTCTGACTTATTAAAATGGTGAACTATGTTAATAGATTTTCTAATGTTCAACCCATCCTAGTATATTTGAAATAAACTCTGCTTTATCATGCATTCATTATTCTTTGAATACATTGCCAAATTCAATTTGTTAAAATCTGTATTTGAGATTAAAATTATTTATAATTAATGAAAATGATCCATTCTTGCTGTCCCCCCCACCCTCTATGCCCCCCCCCCGTAGTTCTTAACAAGCTTTGTAAAGTGAACAGAAGCAGTTTATATAACTTAAGGATTAATTCTTCCTCCAAGGTAGATAGATTTTTACAAAACAAGTTTAACTGGAAAGAGTAGGCATTTAGGACTATCGTTGACCTTTCATGGAATTCTTCACTTCCTTGAAGACTTAGTATTCTCAGGGTAGGTGACCAGAGTGGAGTGGAGGGAACACAACTGATATCAATGTATATCAGGTGGGTAGGTTTTAAATTATAGTACTATATGCTAAAGTAACAGGAGGAAATATATTTTATTACCCCAAAAATGTCATCCAAATTTGCATAATATATTTTTTCTTATCATTCCTGATTTCTGTCCACTGATGTGGATGTATGGGAAGAGATCATATTGGTCATTTAATCTGGGGGTCACAGACTAATAGCTAATGAGATTTAACATACAGTCATTAACAGTTTTGATAAGTGGCCGCTCTTTTAAATCTGGGAAATTTCACATTATATAATGTGGAGCGCAAGCTTCCCTGAGATACTCTATTCTCATAGGCAAACAGTTGGCCCAAGTCACGTTAACCCCTCTGGACTGGGAATTGGCTTTCAGCTTTACCCGGGTAAATGGTCTAATAAATCATATTCATCTTATTCACCTTCCTGGGCCCTTTATGTCTTTGAGTTAGTAACTGGTGATAATTCACCTCTACTTTGCTGAGGAAAGATAAGGACCTGGGACTTCTGGAAATAACTTAGTGAATGTCACTGTACTCTGCCATAACTCTCAAAGGTGGGCTCACCTGAGGGGCTCTACTTCTCATAGTTTTCAGTAGATGAACACTTTGCAGATAATGCCTGCAATTTCCCTGTTGCATTCTGCCACTAGGAATGCTTCCTTCAGCATCGTACTTCCAGGCTCAGTGCCACAGCGCGAGGAACTCCCTACTGACAGGCCACATATATTCTTTTTTATATTATATTATATTTTTTATTTTATATTATATTATGTGTGTGTGTTGTTGATTTATTTATGCATACAAGAGCTGTGGAACAGGCCAGAGGTGAGGTGAGAAGATTCACCAGAGACAGTGTGAACAGAACAGGTGAACTGACTGAAATACACTGTTGAGGAGAACAGAGGGTGAGACAGGAGAGGTCTGCTGCACCATATGTGGGTGAGCTCCCTGACTGGGGAACTCATGTTGCAATGGGTGCGGATAGCTTCATAGTAGACTTAACCCCTTGCGCCACCAGAGAGGCCCCAAGCCACTTGTTTTCTTAGGAAAATGAGACAACAGAAGACATTTTACTTTCACTCATATTTTTGTTGTGTTCCTGGTGGAAATGTCTTAAGCAGCGCTGAACCCAGACAAGGCATCCTGAGTGACTTAGTCCCCTCCTTACCTGGCTGAGTTTATTAGGTCTCAGAATTCCAGGAAGAGGAGGGAAAAGGATACTGGAGAAGAAAAGGAACAGAGAAAATTTATTACTGGAAAGCATGAAAATAATCCAGCGGAGGAAACAGAGGAATGGAGAGAGTGATTGGGGTGCGCCTGTGTGGGAATGGGGGTGGGGGAGTCAATCTCCTCAGAACAATAGAAGAACCAAGTGAGATGCACGACATAGTTATTATTGCAATGCTCTTCCCGACATAGTTATTATTGCAATGCTCTTCCCGACATAGTTATTATTGCAATGCTCTTCCCGACATAGTTATTATTGCAATGCTCTTCCCGTCATTTTGGTTTTTAAAGACCACATCGATGGCCAGAAATGGGGGGAGGCACTAGGAATGTGTATGGGAGACAGCCCAGGCTCCACAGAAAGATCAAGAGACCGGAAGAATGTGCAAAAGGAGAGCCCAGGAGCCACAAGAGGGTAGCGGAGGGTGGGAGAAAAGGCTGCATTTGTGTCCCGAGGCCTTGAGTATAAAGGCCCAGCCTCCTTCTGAGAAAGGGCCAACAATGAGCACAGCCCGACATCAGCCCAGCTGCTGTCTGACACGTTAACAACCCCAGCAGGAATTAGGAGGTGAAATAAGCAGATGAAATGTTTGCTGCAGCTTAGATAAGCATTCCTGGAAAGGAATTTTTCCAAAAAAAAAAAAAATCAAAATGAATTCTGTAAATCTTCCTAATTAGGAAACATGATAAGGAATTAAATTCGGGGGGTGGGAGGATGAAGTGCTGAATAACTCACCCACACGGAATGGCTCTATTGAAAATACCACTGATTATTAGTTTTAGCTGCTCTGGGAAATGGCCTCAGCACAGGGATGGGCATCAACATGCAGCTCACAGCAGCAGCGGAGATGTGTGGCCATCCTAATGAGGGTGCAGAATTCTGAAAAGGCTCTAGAGCTGTGACGTTCCTGGCTGGGGCTTTCCTTCCAGGAATGTCACATTAGGGTTTGGGTGACCACGTCGTAAAAAAAGACTTAATAGGAATGATCTGGAAAGGGGCAACAGAAATGACTTAGACGAGAGAGCGAGAAGCTTTGGGATCAAAAATAGAAAGTAGGAAAACACTTCTATCAGAGATCATTTTCAAAACTAGGAGAGAGGGAGGCAAAGGGAAGCCTGCGTCGTGGCAAGGGTGGAGGGTGCCCACCTACTCTGAGGTCAGGATGCGTGGGGCTTTCCCTGCTCCCAAGGGGCACACTCAGCAAGGTTATCTAAT